TAATCTATTTACAAATACTTGTCTTTTAGTCCACCCATTGTACAGCACTGTATAATTTGACGGCACTTTATAAATAATAACAATAATGACTGGAGAGAGAATGGGAGAAAAACAGTATGGGACATACCATGGGAGGCAAGTTGGATTCAGACATGGGTCTTGACTGGGAGGTTACATGCACTACTGGACGGTAAATCTAGAACTGGAGGTATGAGGCCTGACTGGGTCCAGTGATTCTCGATAAGATAAAGGTCTTCCTGTTTCTCACTCTCTGTCAATGAAAAGTATCCGCACAATATGGTGATGTCCCCAAGATGAAGAACAGTTATTGTTACACACATAGCACAACTACAGGAAGCTCTCGTTTGAACTTACGAGGCCATTGACACTTTGTCGACAAACTCCAAAGTGGATTTGATATTTTGATATGGGTTTTATTGAACGGTGGCTTTCATCGTAACACATGTTTATACATCGCAGCATTGTATAGTGTTCTGATTATAGTTGTTACATGGATGGTTTGTCTCATCCAGTTACTTATCTACACAGCTCTACCGACCTATTAGTTCTCTGACTAATGCACGCCTTACTCAATTTCACAGTGATCCAGACATGGTCGCCCCAAAAGTGCTCAACAGGGGATTTAAACTCTGGACTCTTTCTGCCGTAGTTCTGCTGTCTTGCCTCTGGGCCACACTTGAGTTTTTGTTTCTGCCTGTGTTTATCCTTCCTTGTCTGCAGCACTAGGGAGCTGGAATTTACCTGTGGCTGATCCTGTCTCTCTATGTTCACCTGAGGCAGCTCATTAGCAAGGTATTTAAACCTACCTTTCCATGAGAACATGGTGATCGTGTGTTGTTCCTGTTTTGTCTCCTGATACTCGTTCTCCAGATTGACCCCAGCTCCTGACCTTGGCTTTCCTCCTTGTTTCTCTTGACCTCTGGCATCCTCTGACTGGCTTATCCTCGACGATCCTTCTGCTTGTGTACTTGTCTGTACTGCGAATTGGAGCACTTTTCATGCACAGCCCCCGTGCACAGATTCACAGTCCAGGTGGCTTCTTATCTGGTCACCTTGGACTGTGTATATCTGCAAGGGTGAGCACAAATCTCTGCCTACCAGATTCTCACCACACTCAGTCACTGAGTTCTGATAGCCGTGCGCTATTCTTTCCATTTCAAAACAAGTGATTTGCCATTGCTCAACAGATGTTTGGGATACAGTGTATTTTCTTATAACCCACCCTGATTGGTACATCCCTAGAATTTGATCTCAATCTTACTTTCCCATCTCCTTGGTCTTCGTGATGCTGTTTGAGATACTGCGGGGCCTTCCAGAAACAGGGGTATTTATTTTTAAGTTCTGCAACACTTTAGTTGCTCAAAGTATATTCCATTTCAATTATTTATCTGACTTCTTAAAACCAATGTGCCAATGGTGCCAATGGTTATTTAGGAGGATTTCACAACAAATGGGGCTGAATCCTTATGCAGCCAGCAATTTATTTTTAATTTGTTTCAGAAAAACTTCAAAATGTTAGCTATGTATGTTAGGTGTCTAAATCAAATTAATACCACATCGAAATACAACAAAATGTGGAACTATCCAGGGTGCTAAATACTTACTTTTGCAGGACACTGTATATCCATCAGTGCAAAGCTACAACTTCTTGCATAAGTGTTCAGTAGCAATGTGGACAACTGTGTTAATCCTGCAGTCGCATGATCAGATTGCAAGCTTCTTGGCAATAATTTTAGAGCATTGTGTCTGCCTTTTTAGATTACATTGACCAACAAAATAAAGTTTTGTGGGTTTTTTTATCCTTTTTTATTGTTTTGTTACAAGGAACACCCTCCATGCAATGATCCTAGACTTGTCACACCAACCGCTGACACATTACACCCAAGAATTCCTCTCTCCGCTTCTTTCTCTCTTTTTCTTCCCAGATCGTTCTGAACCCATCAATTCACAGAAAGAAAGAAGGAAGGAGGCAGGAGTGGATGATGAGACACCTCACCTGGGCCCCCAGCGCACGCCTCCAATTAAATCAAAATTGTTTGTTTTTAATGGCCTTTTTACACTGACAAGTGGGCTATCATTCTGGTAGCGCGAGCTGTCAGGGAGCTCGGGAAAATCCTTGGTTGATAATGCCCAATGCATCCAATTAGGAGCAGAGATTCTCCGAGTGCAGTTTTTATTCCCCAGCCTCCCCAAAGGCCCCAGCGTCTCTGCATTTTTTTTCATTCCTCCCCCCACCCCCCTTTTTTTTCCCTTTTTCTCTTCACCGCAAATTACTGACACAAAACGGCCGGCGTATTGATGGCGAATGCGCGCAGTCCGAGCCTGTCGGGTTTAATGAGGTGATGGAAGTTTTTCGGCTGTTTGCTAAATTCTTTCTTGTTTGACAGCTGCTCGGGAAGCTGAATATTGACCTCATAAAAGATTTAGCGTTTCTCATTATTTCCTGTCAAGCATCACAGTGACGGCTTCACAAAATCATTTGCATCTAAATGTGTGTGCCATGGGTATTTGTGTAGGTGTGCGCACACTGCATTATCTCCACACTGTGTGCAGGAATGGGTGTTATTTCGTGTTCCAAAAGTGCGCGTTGGTGTGGGTGTATACGAGTGTACATTTTTGTGAATATGGCGCTTTGATGTTGTGTCCACTTCTTGTGGATATAGCATTTGTGTACAGCGCTGAATGATTGCTTTCTAACTACACTGACAAAATATTTGGGGGGTTTTTTGCATTAAAAGTTGTTCACAATGAATATGTTGCTATTGTATGGTGTTTTGTTTTGTTTTTTGCCTTTGTATAACCAAAAGATGAACAAGATCTCAGAGTAGAAGCACTCTTGACGAGTTTGCCTGTGGCAAATGGAACATCCGATGGTCAAAGTTTATTCGTTGAAGTGCAAATTATTAGAATTTAAAATTAATTCCAAACGTTAGACAAGAATAGCCAAAATCAGCAATGTTTCCAGTTTAACTAAATTGTGAAATTTACTTTCAACTTTTGAATAATCAAAAATTTCAGTAAAAAAAACTGCCCGTCCTGAGGACGACACACTGCTAGAATATTCATTAGCCAGATAGAAACATACATGAGCCAATCTATTATTTTCTTTGAACCATGATAATAGCTGGATAAGATAAGTGTGCGCACGAAAATAATTTTTACACTTTTCTTGAACATCCTTCTATAAATTGCATTTGTTTTTATTCAAACTTACTGAAAATATTTTAATAACACCTATAGTGCAGTTAAAAATATAGGGAAAAAAGTGGAGAAATAGACCAAATACCTAATTTCTGTTGTAATGATTAGAAAAATGAAAAGATAGGGACAATTTTCAGGATTCTTACCTTCCAGTAGACCGTTATCGAACCTCAACTGACCTGTAATAATGTCTTATGGAGGGAGCTTATCATAACATAAAAGAAGTCTCATAATGTACTGCTAAAATTGGATCTAACAAAGGTCCATTTTGCTCAGTGTCCACAATGCGTAATGACCACACGAAACCATTTTACCTAGTCATGTTTGTAAAGAAATGTATTATGTTTTGTTAGAATGATATGAATGCAATCCTCAGTCGTGCATTGTTGAACGGCCAGAGACGAGGTCTAGGTAAAGACATGTGTAGGTGTAATTTTAGAGTCATTGATGGAATTATTATATGCTAAATATCTGTTAGATCTGTTAAAGTAATCTGATTATGGAGAACTTATCTCAAATACATTTAATTGTTTTTTGCTTTAGATTGGACCTCATCTTGATACCTTTCCAAGCCAGGAGGCACGTCAAAAAGCTTTTAATGCCCAGCGCTCTGATGGTATCGCACGCAAAGGACTCCGTGGCCAAGGCATATACAACATCAGCTGAAAACCCAAGACATACGACAATAAATATTGATATATCTTGATTTTATCTTACGTTTTTACATTTTGTTATTTTGTTGATTTCTTTATTTCCATTTTAAATATTACATTTATCTTTTGTGTCCATTATTGGGTGTCAGGATCTGGCAAGGTGCAGTACCATAAGCAAAAGAGTAATTAAGTAAAGTTTGTCACATGGATAATTACTGTAGTACCCATTGGTGGAGACACCGAGTGGGTTGATTTTCAGTAGTCTTAAAGTTTTTAATGCGTCCTGGAAAGACAAATTGCGACCATTGATGGACTTTCCTCTGGTGAGGAGGATCACCCTCAAATGAATATTAATAATTAAAGAAACACTATAACCACTACAGTTTATTGAATGTGTGCTGTCCCTCTAGCTTTTGTCAAACCATTTTCAAGCAGCTTCTCCAACACTGTAAGCCGCCATCAGCATGAGACTTAATTTTCTCATTATTCATCCAAACTATTTGTACAGTGTGGTAGTATGGACTTGCTATGGTTCCTTACCAGTGCCAGTAATCAACAGTGCAGGTCTGGTCTGCCCTGATATGGTACAATTACCTTGACTTTAGGTGGTAAAGGCTAGATTTGAAGCCCTTTAAGTTCAGACAGAAAATGTCTTTGCAGTGGTACCTCTTTTCAGACTGTAGCTATTTCACAGTGATTACTGTTTTGATGCTAGCAGTAGCAGGTCAAAAGATGAAACTAGATATTCAACCCAAAAAATATCTTGAAACTACTACTCAAACAGAGGTTTATTGAGATAAACACAAGGTAAATAAAGGCATCTGTCAGATAAGCAACCAATCAGCAGCTAGCGTAACACATAGAAGACACAATAGGTGGCAGGTGACTAGGTGAGGTTGAGTCATATACTCAAAGTAGGACAAAGCAAATCGTACCCAAACGACACATCTTGCAGTACCAACAGAAACTCTAAGACCAATTCCGACCAAAGAAACAGGAAGAACCACTTTGGGGAAATAAGGAAGAACTAAGTTGGTTGCAGACAGCCCATCACTTTTATATAGTTGTACAATAAAAAGGACCATGACATTTTTCAGACTTAGCCTTATGCCTATCCCACGCATGCTTAAACTCCTTTACTGTGTTAACCTCTACCACTTTAGCTGGAAGGCTATTCCATGCATCCACTACCCTCTCAGTAATGTAATACTTCCTGAAATTATTTTTAAACCTTTGCCCCTCTAATTTAAGACTATGTCCTCTTGTTGTGGTAGTTTTTCTTCTTTTAAATATAGTCTCCTCCTTTACTGTGTTGATTCCCTTTATGTATTTAAATGTTTCTATCATATCCCCCTTGTCTCGTCTTTCCTCCAAGCTATACATGTTAAGATTCTTTAACCTTTCCTAGTAAGTTTTATTCTGCAATCCATGAACCAGTTTAGTAGCCCTTCTCTGAATTCTCTCTAAAGTATCAATATCTTTCTGAAGATTGACTTATCTGCAGCTTTCTTTGTTTATAGACTGCTCATTTGGGTATGTGTAAACCATGATTATATGCTGATCAGTCTCACAGTGCATATAGTGCTACAGAGTGTTTTAGTGGGTCCTCACATTAATGATCTGGCAAATTATTTTAACAGGACCATAAAAACTCTAATGTTTTTTACTGCCACTGCATCCTTTGTCCAATAAAAGGAGGGGCCCTATTGATAGTTCCTGAGAACGATTAAAGGGTTACTCCAACCAGGACCAGGAAGCTGTCTCTCAGTCTGGCGTGATTGATGTCAGCATGACATGCCCCCATCCCGATTTCATACCTTCCAAAGGTGGGACGTATTATTGAAGTGACCCTTAAAGGCATACTGTAGGCTCCTACTAGACCACTTTGGTTCATAGAGGTGGTCTGGGTGCATTGTCACATGCCCCCTTAACCCTACAGTGGTAATTAGTGCAGTTTCTGAGAAACTGCAATAATTACCTCTGTGGGTTAACTCCTCCTCTAGTGTCTGTCTAAGAGACAGACACTAGAGGGACTTCCGGAATCAAAACGTACCTGTGGTCCATTATCTGACTCTGGACGTCCTCTTGCTCTGCATGAGAACCTCCAGCGTCATATTTTTCCCCATGCTGTCAGTGGGGAAGGAACATGGGCAGAGCCTGACCCAGCGCCGAGTGACATTGGCGCTGGTTTCAGGTAAGTGACTGAAGGGGTTTTAACCTCTTCAGCACCGTGGGAGATGGTGCGCAATGGAGGGGAGCACTGCAGGAGCATATAGTGCCAGGAAAACGGGTTTGTTTTCCTGGCACTATAGAATCCCTTTAAAGAACCACTCTGATAGAGACAGGAAGACACGCTGATATGATTAACGATTTGTTCCTGATCTGGCTAGTGGAATGTTTGATATTATGTTTTATTGCATCATAGTTGCACTTCAAATTTTAAACCACCTTCAGATTTGATCATCATACATTGTGCTTGGACAAGTTTCTAGGCTTTGAAGGGGTTAATTTTGTTTTGGACTTTTTTTCCTCATTCACCAGGAGAATCAGGTAGAATGGCTTTGGAAGGATAAAGAAAAGAAAGAAGAAAAAAAAAGTTCCTATCAGAAGACCTCAGCCCCATAAAGTATTTATGACCACGGAGTGTCTCCCTTTATCATATTAAAACAAAAACAATGCCAACATCAAAATAAGACTTATTGTTGCCATGAGCTGAGCAGAAATGATTTACAGCATCACTCAAAAAGACCTAACTTATTCTCCAAACTTGCAATTTCTAAACCTCACGGATTATGAAGTTATTCCCTGTACTGTGTGCCTGAGGGGCCCTTCAATGCATTGCAAAGTGGCGCATTGCAGTGACTCTTAATGCTTAAGGGATTTCATTTACCAAGCTAGAGACATCTATATAAAGAGCGAATCAGTCTTCCAACAAAGTCCTTGGACTCAGTTTATAGAAAATCTCTTGGGCCTGCAAAACTGGGTCAAAACCGATGGCCGGTGCCTTCTCTATCAAAGATGAAGAATCCCAAAGAAAGCAATTGGTGTGAGATGTTGGTTAATATTGCCATTATATTGCTGGGTACGCTCTAATGGCTTGCACCGTTCTTCAGAACAATACACAGTGAGTTTCTATGGATTAGAGCTTACTGTGATCACCTGGTCTCTCACCTGTCATTTTAATAAGGCAATGGAATTCTGGGAGAATCTTCTCCAAATTAATAAAAATAGTTTGGGTACCATATTGTTTGCAAGGATAGCAAGCAAAACGGACTGTTGTTTATTTACTAAACATTGAATTGGAAAAATGTTTTGTAAAACCTAGGCTAAAATAGCCGAGCGGCTAGATATACATTCAGCACTTATTGATTACTTGTTGCAATTAGGCTTTGAATTTACTACGATTTAAAGATTTTATTTACTAACACAATAATTTTCACAAATTTAAAGTGAATTCTAAATTAATTGAATAATTTCCGTCATGAGTCCTTAAAGGGGATAAGGAAAATGTCTGAAAGGAGATGCTGAAGAATTTGTGGTAACCAAAATAATTCAGAAGACAGAGAGGTTTGGCATCCTCGAACAGCAATGTTTCTAAACTACATTTCCCAAGATGCTCAACCCGCCCTTGCATTGCAAGATCAGTGGTTTTCACTTTAGATTGTCCATTTGCTGATCTAAGGCATCAAAGCAGGTCTTAAAGGACTAACAGGAGCACAATAGCACCCTGCACAGGTTATGGTGGAAGTAAGTCCCCTGCCCGCAGCATTTTATTACAGCAGTCATTTTTTTAAATTGGGAGAGCTGAGCAACATTCTGCACAGTCCTCATTCCTGCTCCAAGTCAGTCTGCCATTTTGATACGGATATATTTCGCCTGGATATGATGTCATAGCTCTGTGATATCTTAAAGTTATATAACTCCTTCTCCCCCCGCTAAATGTCTAGTGTATTATGTATCTGTTTGGGTAGTTATTATTGTGTACATGTGGGTATAGAGGTGAGATAATATTAAAGGAGCATTCTAGGTACCATAACTATAAAGCAGAATGTCTTTCGCTTTTATGCACTAAGCACCACAATGTATCGTATTGAAATCAGAATTTCAAAATTTACCTCAAAATAGCTAACTTCTAGAACTCGGTTATAGGTACAGCTTGGGTTGTGTAGCCTAAATGATACAGTTTACATTAATATTCACAACAATTCGTTCCTTAGTGTAAAAACAGCACTTTGTTGGCCGGCATTGCAAGTTGTGCAGCGATGCCACCAACTGGTCATCTGCAGTAGCACAGCCCTTTGTAAAAAGTTGAAAGCACTGTCAATTTCATTAGCAAAATAATGTAGTTCAATAAGAGATACTGAGATGCCTGTCGACTGCTGGTGATTAAGACATTCGTGGTTATTCGCTACACTCTGAATGGTGCGCATATTAAACTCTGAATGGCCAAACTAAGGCAAACATTAAATGTTTTGGAAAAATTATCCAAGTGAAGTCTGCTTTAAGTAAATTGCATTCTTATGGTACCTCCAATATCTGCTTAATGTAAAGATTCCTAACAATTATAATCCGCAATTTGTATAAGAAGTAAAAGTAGTAAGAATTGAAGGTGTGGTTGTTGTAAAAACAAAGTTCTTAAAGGAACACTCAGACACACAAAGCACTTCAGCTTGTAAGTGTAACAAGAAAATATGTCAAGAAGTCGGAAGCACAAGCTGAATAGAACGTTCTGACGTACATTTTGACATCCTGTGCTCAGCAGACGTAGTGTTTGTATTTACTGCCCAGATTCCATTGCATCTCTCAAAGTTATTAGCTAAATTTCAAACTGTAGTTTATTAAAGGCAGAATTGCAAAATTAAGGCTAAACTAGCTGCTCTGTGACCATATTTCTACATATCAGCTATGACTGCCTTCATTTTCAATTTGGGTTAATATTCGCCACAATTTCCTTATTCAAATACTGTTTTAATGAGTATATACTGCTGCAATTATACATCTTAAAGGGAATACTTTGGGCACCAGTTCAGGACAAGGGTGATATATAGGTTAATCCCTACTTGTTTTATTTTTGTGTTAATAAATCAAAACGAAAATACATTCCTGACATGATTATCCCCATGTCCTGTTTACTCTCTCCCCTCCAATATGCAGTATTTCCCTTTGCTTGCAATGTGACCTCTGTGACATCATAATATATTTCTGCACTATCCTGAATGACTGTACACCTCTCTCATACGTATGATGGCTTTCTATAAAACCTCATACATTCACGGTGTGCATGTGTGGTTGCAATAAACTTTTCCACATTCAATCTAATAGAAACCAAGACACCAACACTAATATCTAATGCAAGTAGCTTCATTCATGAAAAACATGAATGACGTTAATAAAGTCCAGTTCTATCATAGGCCATACAGATTTCTGCTAAATGCTGCATGATGTGTGTCGAGGCTAGCAGCAAATACCTTCATTAATAAAAACCATGAATGAGGCGGCTTGCTCACAGCTTGTATTTACCATATGTATAGTCCTTTATTCATGCTTTTTCCTGAATCAAGATAAGTATGGCTAAATATGTTGGAGGCTGAAAAGCTCAGTATTCTATGCTTCTCTTTAAATTATAAAAAAAAAAACTACAAATGATACCATTTGCGCACAGTGACACACAGTTAATCTATTTGTGGTTGAAACTGTGCTGTCATAACGGCAGATTAAAATGTTAGAGATATTAGAGATCTAGGGCTGGAGGGCACTTGGAGTTAAGGGTTACTGCCCCAAAATCACAGTGCTCCCATTTACAGTTAGAGGACTATTTACAGTGGGAACTCCTGCACTCAAGATGTTGTTGAGGACGCCCATGTTCATGATAATGGAACACTCCACTGCCAAAATACAAAAAAAAAAAAAAAATGTTAAAAATCTCTATTTAGTATACAGGGAGTGCAGAATTATTAGGCAAGTTGTATTTTTGAGGATTAATTTTATTATTGAACAACAACCATGTTCTCAATGAACCCAAAAAACTCATTAATATCAAAGCTGAATATTTTTGGAAGTAGTTTTTAGTTTGTTTTTAGTTATAGCTATGTTAGGGGGATATCTGTGTGTGCAGGTGACTATTACTGTGCATAATTATTAGGCAACTTAACAAAAAACAAATATATACCCATTTCAATTATTTATTATTACCAGTGAAACCAATATAACATCTCAACATTCACAAATATACATTTCTGACATTCAAAAACAAAACAAAAACAAATCAGTGACCAATATAGCCACCTTTCTTTGCAAGGACACTCAAAAGCCTGCCATCCATGGATTCTGTCAGTGTTTTGATCTGTTCACCATCAACATTGCGTGCAGCAGCAACCACAGCCTCCCAGACACTGTTCAGAGAGGTGTACTGTTTTCCCTCCTTGTAAATCTCACATTTGAT